AAAAAACAAGAAAAAAAAAAGAAAAAAAACTTTTAAAATGCGCAAAGTATTCGAGCCGGTTATCTCGCGTTATCCTAATGCAACTCCAACACCTTACCGGGTGGGGCTTGTGCTTACCCGGAAGGGGAGAGACGCGGAAGATACGGGCTGAATAAACTTGGGACGAAAATTTTCTTGGGCGCGAGAAAAAAGGGTTGTGGGAGCCTCCGTTGAAATATTGGCCGTTGTAAAAACAAATGGCTTGATGGAAAGCAGGTGGTGTAAGTCGGGGAGGGGTTTGCAAACCAAAGCTGATTGCAAAAGCAAGGGTGGAGGGAAGGGTTAGGCCGGGAAAAAAAGCCAGGAGTGGGGAAAAAACAAAAAAAAAAAGCCCCACCACGCACACAACAAAAAAAAACAAACACAAAGACAAGGGTTGAAAAAAACAAAAAAAAAAAAAAAAAAAACACAAAAAAAAAAAAACAAACAAAAAAAAGGAAGACGGGCTTGGGAAAAAAGGCAGTTTAAACAAAAGGCAACCCACAAAGCGTTTTAAGAACCTTAATTGGCAAAACTGGCCAAACTACTTCTGTACTGTTTTTTTGCCGTGTTTTAACCGGGGAGCGGGAAGAAAGGAAAAAGGGAGAAAGAAGCAAGCAAAAAGGGGGGGGGCGAGGAAAGAGAAGTAAATTACGGTTCCTGATAAAAGCTGTTGGAAGGAGGCTATGGGTTGCTTTGGCAGGGAAGGTGGAATTGCAAACAAACGATGTAAAAAAAAAAAAACTTACCGAAAAAAAAAAAAAAAATTACCAAAAGCTCACTTAAAAAAAAAAAAAAAAACAAACAAAAACCGGGGCTTCCAAAACTCAAACCGCAAAACTGTACTTAAAAAAAAAAAAAACTATAAAACCCGCGGTTCAAAAGAGAGCGGGAGATTGTTTACAAACTTTGTGGGAATGTTTTTAATTATTGAACGCGGTGTTGAAACATATGGACCCTTTAAAAAAAAAAAAAAAAAAAAAAAAAAGCCGTTTTTTAAAAAGAAGCAAGAAGGGGCTCAAAAAAAAAATTTGCTCGCTTTCCCCTTCTTGAAAAATTTTTCCTTGGCCCTTTATGTTCTCGTTTAAAAAAAAAAAAAAAAAACATTAATTTTCAAAAAATCCTACAAATTCCACTTTTTTTAATTGTAAATTTTTCAAAAAAAAAAAAAGCAAAAGGGGTTTAAAAAAGCAATTAAAAAATGGGTGAAAAAAAAAATAAAAAAAAAAAAAAAACCTTTGCAAGGATGCCTCTTTGGGAAAAAAAAATTAAAGCTCTTAAAAAAAAAAAAAACCCCTGGCCAAAAAATGTCCGCTAAAATTTGAAGGTCCGAGTTTTTGAATATTCTCAAATAATGTTAGGCTTATGCCACTGCCATTTTCTCGGCTTCTTCTTGCCCCTCGCTCTCGCATGGAGAGACTTATTTGAGAATGCTCTTCTCGTTTTTTGGTACCTTGAACTTTTTCTTTTTCTCTCTGCTCTCTCTCTTTGTTCTCTCTCTCTCTTTTGTGTGTTTTGCTTTCTGACATGTTCCACTTAACCGTATCGAACTCCCCATACATCAATATAGTAAAATCATAATATAATATAATATCACCTCGCGCATTGCCACCTGGCTAGTGCATATTCATCGCGCTCGCACTCTCTCTCTCTAGCATGTTTAAAAAGAGAATCTGATTCTCCTACTACAAACACATTGGACCCAAACACATAATACCGCCCATAATCTGTCAGCCATCCAGTCTTAAAGACCCATAATGTGGCCTCCCCCTCAGGGCATGTCCCGGATCACCTTTTTTTTGCCCCTCACCCGATCCGATTCCCGATCATTTGTTGTTGAAACACTCTCTCGCCCCGATTACCGATTTTTCCCGCATCCAGATCTTGTATTGCAATGCATTAAAGAGAACCGCAAAAAAAAGAAAAAAACACGCATTCGCATTCTCCTCTCGCTCTCGCTCACCCTTAAGGGTTATTTTTTTAATTTAATTGGATTATTCTATCCAACATGG